CAAACTTACTCTCTCAAACATTGGACATACTGTCAAGAGGGACCAGTTGCTGGAGAAGGATATCATGTTTGGTAAAGTGGAGGGTCAGAGAAAAAGAGGAGGACCCCCAACGAGATGGATTGGCCAAATGGCTGCATCGATGGACTCAAGAGTGGCAACAGTAGTGAGGTTGGCCCAGGATCAGGCAGTGTTTCGTTCTGCTGTGCATAAGGTTGTTATGAGTCGGTACCGACTCGATGGCACCTTCAACAACAACAAGGCAATGTCCAAGGCTCTATAGATACAGCAGGGAACCAAAAAGACACTGGTGGTGTGGGTATGTATAATTTCACTGCAACAGCACCAACATGGAAATCTTTAATGTTTAAGTAGATGTAAAATTATATCTATTTTGTATTTTCTGGTAATAGATTTCCAGTAAGGAGCTTGGTGGCAGTGGTTAAGCACTCGGCTATAAACCAAAAAGTGGGTGTTTTGACCTCACCAGGAGTCCTAGTGTGGCGCTGTGGGTTAATGCGGCAGACTGCAAAGTTGTTTGAACTGCAAGGTTGGCGGTTCAAGGTCACCAGCTGCTTCTTGGAAACCCTATACAGGTTCGCTGTGGGTCAGAACCGACTCGATGACACTTCACAACGACAACAACAAGCAGCTCTGTAGGACAGAGATGTGGCAGTCTGCTTCCAGAAAGATTTGTTGTTGTTCTTGAGTGCCATTGAGGTGGTTCTGACTCATAGCAACCCTGTATAAGGTTTCCAAGTAGCAGTTAGCGAACATGAACTGCCAGCGTTGCATGCAGTGCCACACCAAGACTGTATAACATTGTTGTTGTTAAGTGTTGTCGAGTTGGTTCTGATTCATAGCGACCCTGTATAGGGTTTCTGAGGAGCAGGTGGTGAGCTTGAACTGCCAACTTTGCAGTTCAAACCCACCTTGCAGTCCAGCACATTAACTTGCAGCACCACAGAAGGGATTGCAGCCTTGAAAATCCTACACTGCAGTTTTACTGTCTAATAGGTCACTATAAATCAGAATCAGCTAGAAGGCAGTGGGCTCGTTTTTGGTTTGTTGTTTAAAAATCCATTCAGAATTTAATTAAGTGATTTTACTTTCTTTATAGACTATGCCAAGGACTTGAATGGATGATGTCACGACTTAAGATCAGATGATCTCTACTGACCTCTTCTCAATGACATTGTGTAGATGAAGTACTGAACTTTACCTGAAAACTGCAAAGATGAATGGTTCACATATATTTATAATAAACTGATTTAAACTTTTTCTATAAGAAGAAAAATTAAGACCACTTATTTGAAAACACAAGTGAAAGCTCATCTTTTAATTTGCTTTTTCATTATTTCCTTCCAAAAGTAAGGTCTTAAAGCTGTGATTGACTTTTCCTCATAATGAATCCTCTCAGGACATTGTACAGCCCATGGTAAGTAAAAAGGGAGAGGAAGACATTTTCATCTTTGATAACTGTTTTATCAGTATAGCCCTCCCTGTTTAATGTTGTTCTCTCATCTTGTTCCATTAAGTCAAAGTACAAATCAGCACAGACAGGTTCCAATATTTTAAAATGTTGTGTTACTATTGAAAAGTATTTCATGTAAGGCTCTGTGTGTATTGTGTATATACCTCACATTCAAGTTAATGGCTTTGATTTATGTGCTAAAGAAAAACAACACAAAAATTCCTATCCTTAATTATAACCATAATGACTTGAGTACTGGCATGGGTGTTAAGTGTCATTTTGTACTTTTACCTTTATGTTCTCTGTATTGTACTAACCTATCTCCAGAATCATTAAGCTGCTTTAAAAGAAAAGTAGAGGAAGACAGCTTGACCCTTTGTACGTGTTTTCTTGTTGATCAAATAACAGACATATAATGCAACTTGACTTGTCAAGTCCTTGGGTTAGTATTACTAATAGGAAGAATTGGACAGCAGTGAGCGGTTATCAGACGATTGCCTTTATTGACCCATCCACCTACGTTACTGATTAAACTGAATCCGTTAATTGGTTAATCATCAATTGTAATTAAGATCAAGTTCCTTTTTTTTTTTTCCAAGAGTAATTGAAAACTTGTATGAAACATGTCTGTCCAGAGAAGTAGTATCCTATAAATATTATCAAGAAATTTAGTAAGAGTATTTTTAAGTATTACATTACATTTCAGCATTTAAAGTGAATTTGAGATTAAAAGTAAAGCATATTTTCTAAGCAACAATAATTTCTCATCTTTAAGTTTCTACTTTTGGTTTAAGATTTTTAATTTCCGTTGGATACCTTGTATCTTCTTTAACTGTAAAAATAAACAGTTTGGCAGTTAAGAAACACATTTCTTCAGTGCTTTTAAAAGTTTGGCTTAAAAAGTCAATTGACATGATACTTTGTTTTTACTAAAGTAACCTGGCCCATCATAACTTTTATGTTGTTTAAGATTTCCCTGCTCCCTCCTCTCTAATATTGGAAATTTGGAAGTATTTATTCATTTAGATAAACCAATTTATCCTTAATCCATTAAAACATTTTCATGGGTACTCTCTGTGTATCTTTTATGCCCTGAAAATCTCAAGGCTAATCTGAATTGGCATGTTTTAGAATATTCAAGAAGAAAATATTAACATTTTAATACCAGCCTTTTAAGATTTCATAAATATTTCAATAGGAAATAGTAGTATAGACTTTGGAAGTTCATTTCAGTCAAGTATAAAAGCTCCATATCTAAATCCCATGTCAGGCATGGGAGATTTGGTATTTAATAGTGGCTGTTTTGTTTTTTATAATGCTTAAAATGCAAGTTATAATCTTAACATGCTTTTACAAAAGTGTGCCCTAACTTACTAAGCTTTATTTATTCATATGTCTCAATTTTTTCAAATTGCTGTAAAAGATTACTTGTTATATATTTTAAGTTCCCTTAAAAAAAAAACAAATAAATCTTGTAGATATTGGCGTTTTAGTCATGGGCAGCTATTCTGCAAAGTAGTCTGACAGATGTGTCCATTTTGTCTTTTAATTTTACTAATCATATGTTTGGTCCATTGGGTTGCTGCCCCATCAGTTCAGCAAGATAGCAGTTATTCCCTAGTCATCACAGTGTTGGCTAAATTGTGGTCTTCATTGGATGTTTAAAGCATGCAACATAGTACAGTTGGTTTAGTGTAGTAAATTATTGATAAAACATAATACATGGACTCTTATACCATGTTTTTAAATTTTGATTTTTGTTGTTATTTTCTACCCTTCTAGGCTAGGCATTAAAAATAAGGTGGTACCTGTGTACTTGTAAATATATATATATATATATAGTTAATTATAGCTGAGGAAGAAAAAAAGATTTC